GTTTGATCATTGATAAGATGCTTGGGCGAACTCAGACTAGAACCAAACTTTTGAATGTCAACTATTCACAATAACCACAGCACTCTAGCATTTGACCTCCAGACCTACTGACGAGCCTCTCCCAGCCGTGATGCCGGGGGCGGTCCGCTGCAAACCCCTTTCATCCATCATCTTTGCGCTGCTAAGTGTCGGCGGCGGCGGTGAGCGTCCCAGAGAGGCGGCCGACCCGTCGACCGAGCTGCCTTGTCACCTCACTCACCCCCCACGTTAATGCCAGTTATCCCCATGAATAAAAGATGGCGCGGATGATTGATTCACGGGATTTGGCTGTGCGGCGATTCACAGCTCTCCCTCCGGTGCACGGCGGGTGTCGCCCCCGGGGCACGGACGCGCGACAGCTGCGCCCGCCGGCCGCCGCCGCTGATGGGCGCAATTCCGAGACTATGAATGCTAAGATGTGCTCCGAAATAGCCGTATTAGTGGATCCGCTGCGTCTGCCGCCGCTGGCGTTTTTTATGTGTCAGTCCATTGTGGATCACATTTACAGCTCTTTGTGAAGATAATGACATTCTAATATGTCATATAGGGTCCTTGAATATGATTTAAAGTTCGATTCAGCAGAGTTTATGCTACTTTATGCTTAGTTTGTCACACCTTACATTGCAATATTATCGGCAGCGATGAGCGAACCACAATGTGACATGACCTATGCAATATGCATAATGCATATCCTGCTCCGATTTCGTCGTTATCATATATACATTCACACAGGTTACACGGCGAGGTAGGTCCATAACTCATTAATTGCATTTATTCAGGCGGTTCATTGTCATTCGTGCGATAAGCCTCGGTGTCGAAATGTGGTGAAAGTGCCGCCTGAGTTGTTGGTCTTCTAATAACGTTGGTGTCGCATAATGACATATGCCTAACGACACGCAACTGCAGCGTATATTAGGGATTAGTACCCCATTGTACAGGCTGCTTTGCTCTACATATATCCATGTAATCCGTAGGTAAACACGGTTATTGATAAATCATGAATGCATTTGTTTGAAAAGTAACTCTCAAAATAATGTACATGGAAATGGACGTTGTCGGTATCCTGAGATAACTGTAGTGTTTCTCATCAACTGGGCTAGGAACATTATTACCGTTCCAAAAATAAATTGAAAGGGAAGAAAGAAAGAGAGAGAGAGAAAAAAACAGCGTAACGATGGGACGGGAAAATTGATGACGATGATGGTGATGCTGGGATACCTGGGTTTCGGAAGCCTGCTGGGAGATTGTATATTCGTTTACGTTTACATTGATGGACGCTGGTGCGTCTCTGGGAGGCTGGTGAACAGTACCCTGCCGTTCAGGAAATCGAAGGGCGATGCTCTGTCGTTTTGGAGACCGACGGACGATGTCCTGTCGGTTTGGAGGCTGATAATCGGTGCTGTGTTGTTTCAGACAGTCACACAGTAGTCACTGTATCCCAGTCTGTTTTGGAGCGTGATGGTCTATCCTCTGTCGTTTCAGACGGTCCCACAGTGGTCACTGTGCCCCAGTCTGTTTTGGTGGCTGATAATCGGTGATGTGTCGTTTCAGACGGTCCCACAGTGGTCACTGTGCCCCAGTCTGTTTTGGTGGCTGATGGTCGGTGATGTGTCGTTTCAGACGGTCCCACAGTGGTCACTGTACCCCAGTCTGTTTTGGTGGCTGATGATCGGTGATGTGTCGTTTCAGACACATCACATGTGATGTGTCGTTTCAGACACATCACAGTGGTCACTGTGCCCCAGTCTGTTTTGGAGGCTGACGAATGGTATTCTGTCGTTTCAGACGGTCCCACGGTGGTCACTGTACCCCAGTCTGTTTTGGTGGCTGATGATCGGTGATGTGTTGTTTCAGATGGTCCCACAGTGGTCACTGTACCCCAGTCTGTTTTAAGGTGGCTGATGATCGGTGATGTGTCGTTTCAGACGGTCCCACAGTGGTCACTGTACCCCAGTCGGGTGTGGTGGTCGCAGAGCGGGGAACAGATGAGACTCTGCAGTGTACGGCCGACGGGAAACCCCAGCCAACCATCACCTGGAGGAAACAGGTAAGAAAGGGTTCGTCCCGATAGCATGTTTATTAATCCCACCCAGAAATGACAAACAAAGCCTCTGATTGGCCAGTTTCGGCTGACAGACGCAGAATATTTGTCAGCAATAGAATACTATGCTTTAGCACGTTTTCAATAATGACGCATCCGTTACATTTACAGGTTAGGGCAGCTAAAATATTGTAATGGATCTAACATGTTAAATATAACATTTTTGGAAGCCCGTACAGATTGTTTCTAGTGAGTTAGGTGTTACAAAGTATTAAAAGAAATGATTGTTATCTGTTAAATAAAGAACAAAAGCTTTTAGCTACTAACATCCGCCTGACAGTCTCCAGAATCCTGCGTACGGGGACACCGCAGTCTCTGTTTCTTATGTTATCGCAATGGGGAAAAATTGAAATTTTAAATGAGTCAGTATCGTGTTAAGAAGTACTGATGCTTTCAAAACTAAATGCCTTTCAATTCAAATTCCAGAATATCCTTTCGCGGAAATTGAGCACTTCTCAACCTGTCTCTAACGCTACAAGTCTGAACAGTGAGCGTCTCATGCGTTGCTCACGTATCGCGATAAAAAGGACGGCGTCATATAATCAAATGAACTTTTCTTATGCATAGAGCATTTGAAACCTCACACCAAACGCCTCCCTTCCTTGTTTTCCACTGCTGCCTTTCACATACCTTACCTAGTACCTACCCAATGACCGTTCCAGCTCGACGTTCCTTATCGACTGCCTCACATTCAACGGCCATATCCCACCTACGCTGAAAACCAATCGGAGGCACTTTCAATCGTCCCTTGAATAAAATTGCTACCTACACGCATTTAGAGGAGAACGAGACCCAGAAAAGGCGTGCATAAAACGATCGGTTTCGGCCCCCATGGAATAAGCCAGGAGGTAAAATCATATTGATTGAAGAACATTTTCGAGGACATGATATCTATTAGATATTATTTTGCAAAGGTATTGTGAACATAACGTCCGCGTATCGCAGCTCTGAATCTGCTGGTGTCAGTCCCATGCAGCAGCCACCGGACCACTGCCCCGCCGCCTGCCGTTCGCTGATCATACAGGCCGGCTGTCCCAGTGTCTCATCAAACGATCACAGCTGACTCATTATTTATAAAATGCCAAACAAAAACAGACACCCAATAGTATAGATCACGCCAGCTCTTTCAGTCATGCGCGTGGAGATATATCGCGTGTCGGGTCGCGGCCGGCCGGCCGCGGACCATTTTCAGAAGTGGCGGGCAGACCGTGCGTCGAGTACTTGCTTTCTCGCGCGGCGGTACTGGCGTTCACTAGCATTGTTTAAAATATTTTCATTTGCCATGAACTTGAAATTATACACTGTAATTAACGATCTTTTGTCAATTATTACAAGTTCTTCAAATTTATTCTTTGAAAGCAAATGATTTCATTTCACTCAAGAATTGTCTTGTCCACCACTACAACCGCCACCCAGCCGCCATCCATTGGAAGAGATAGGCTCTGCGGCACAAAGTGTCGTTTTAAACTGGACTGGGAACCAATGTGTGATGACATTTCGAGCTAAATTTATGCTCATTGTGTACCTAGAAGCATTGGGAACAACGCTCTGACTGTACATTTTTAGATTTTTGCCTCTAAATGAAAATATTTACAATCAAGTACTTTGCGAGCGCAGTTTAGAAGCTCCCGTAATGTTAAAGTCCTATCTCCTACAAGTATGTAAATACTGCTCTAGGGAACCAACAGTTCGCATCGTACTAGCTTTAAATTATATCCATATTGTTCCCAGTACTTTGCTGAACACTGTGGTGAGTGTACATTTTTCGTTTTTTGCTTTACAAGCGTAAAATTCGTCTGGTTTTATACCACTTAATTCGCCTCCATAGCCCGGTAACGGCGCCGCGCGGCGCGGCCGGCCGGCGCCCGCTGTAGTTCCAAACACTGCCCGATAGATGGCAGGCGCAGAAGTGGTCCCAGCCGTCCCGGTACGGGTAGTTTTCCTATCACAGATCACACTGAACAGAGGAAAAGCGTACACACGCAGCATAAATAATGCATTATCAAGTACACCGATCGATGCATCGTGGAATACACCGAAAAAATACATCACTGCTTTAACGTTCCCCAGGTCGGTGGGCCGTGGGGGCGTTTTTGGCCACACCTGACAATTTTGTGCTTGCATAGATAAAACGACACGAAACTTAGTATAGCTTATGTATGCATCGATTCGTATCAATTGTGAAAAAAGTAACCCCATGTCACCTAAGGTCAGGTCAGGTCACCATGAAGTAGAAGTTTGAAACTCGAGCTATTGCATGAGAGAATCAGTACCAACATCTTGAATATCTTTAATTTTGATATCGGTGGTGACCTAGGGTCAGGTCAACTTTGCGACGTCTCCAGTTTCAGTCAGTATGAGGAACTCGAAATGTTCTGCTTTTGAAACAAAAGCACTCAAACATCGGGATCTATCGTATGCTCCTGAGGTCATCTCAGGTCATGTAACGCCTCCCAACAGTTTATATTTGTACATCGATTTTAGATGGAACGTGGCCAGAGCGCTAAAAGCATCATAATCATAGGCGGCGGAACAGGCCGAGGGCACCGGGGCACCGTGCCCCATTTGATTTTGGCATTTAACATGAGCCCTATGGGCGTTGCATGGAAAGAATGAGACCAAAAGTCGGCAATGCCCCCTTAATTGAAGGCGTTCCGCCGCTACTGATGTTAATCTCAATTTCAATGTAACGAATCAATGACATGCAAAATGGCATTTTCTGCGACATTGACCTGGGGTCAAATTAATTAAGCTGACCTTGTTAGGCCAAGAAGACGAGAGAAACGCAGTGCCGGTAAAATCAACGTAATAAAAGGTTGGTATCAGTTTAAAAAAAAATTAAAGAAAAGACGACTTCCGAAGCAAGCCGATTGTTCAGTTGTTGCCCTTTGGAGGCTTAACCCTAGTTGACCTTAGCTCAAATCTGAGAACCTGAAAGATTTTCGAAAGAGCTATCGAATTCGCTTTTCCGCGGCGCTTTAGCTTCTTTGGTTCCCGAATTATGAACCAATTTGTGAAGTTGTCAAAATCGGGGGCCAAAATTCGTCATTATTTTACTTTTGGTGACCTCCAGTGACCTCAGCGATGACCTGATCAAAAATGACCTGTATGATTCTGAAGAAAAATAGCGATCTATAGATTGATTTTACTGCGTCTTTCCAGCTTTGCTACATTCCAAGATAACCTGGTGTGGCCGAATACACCTCCTCCCCCCCCCACCAAGTTGGCTGAGGGCCACCCGGGCGCGGGTTAATAACATGGCGCAACAGGTTTTGTTATCAACTTGTCCTTTTCACACATAGGCGACACTAGATATCACAGCCAACGCCTATCACCAAACTGGTGGTGGGCTTCGGCCAGCGATCGCCGATCGGGGCCAACGCGGGCTCTTACTCGTCCACAATCAGCAAGAATGATGAACTACAGCTGCTCCAGACTGGCCACTTCAATCCAGCGTGTAATCTTCAGTCCACATCAGAACCACTAGTGAAACTCTACTGAGTGGGCCAACTGCACTGCATCTTTGACCTCCTTTGCAGCTCTGACTTTTCAGAATTTGAACAGCCTTCTCTTTCCCACCCTTCTGTGCTGATGAATGATGATCCTTTGGAAACCTGGAAAAAGACAGTACAGACTTAGGGAGATGAAACTGTTTTGCTATGGGTCTGTTCCAGTTGCACTTCCTAACACATCTAAACTCCTCAAAGAGCAAGATAGAGGAGGTTGGAGCAGGGCGCTTCTTGGCTTTGTAGGGGCGAAAGCTGCCACTGGAGCAGGGAAGCAATCTTGGAGGAGTTAAGAGGTGTTAGGAAGTGCGACTGGAACAGACCCTATGACAATGTCTGTGCATAGAGCAAGCAGATGGTAGAAGTGGTCAATTGGTGAGTGGAACAAATGCAAATGTCAGGAAAGCAGTCATATTTTGTGATAGACATGATGCAGATGTTGGCCAAGCTGACAAGGCAGATATAATTACCAGCTTGTTATACTAGTCTATAACTCATCATATTTTCATGTTTAACAGAGGGAATATAATGTAAAAAAACCTTAGCCAGGCCAGATGAAAGTAGATAATATAAGTTCTATAGAAAAATGTTTATGTAAGTAATGTAGTATTTGTGGTTTTTAGAGGCTAGGTAAATGTGTTCCCTGTTCAACAATTCTTCAGCATTCAGACATTGATGTCAATGTACAATGTACATGCATCAACATACCTGTTGTGAAGTGATTCTGGGCTGCTTTCCTGAGCAGTTGATGGCCACCACTGGAATCTTAAAAACACAGCTTATTTTTTCCATTTTGTTAACTATGACTGAGGATCTTCTGTGCTGAAAGAGAGATAGACAATAGACATCAGCTGATAGACATCGTACAATGTACAACTCATTTGTGAAACAAGATCAATTCCATTTAGGGGTAGGTCGTAGGATAATGGTGACATGAATGAATTTCAGTTTTCACTTTTCACCAGTCCAGGTACCTGGTGACAAAATGAAATATAGGAGGTATCAATGATAATGTTTCTGGTAGAAAATGCAGGCATTTTAGAATTCAGTTGAAGCTTTAGATGGAGGATTTTTGGAAAATATTTGCCACAAATAACATTGGAATCTCAGAAACAAAAATCAAATCTTACTTGATGTCAAAAACAAATCAAACTATTACCATTGAGCACCAAGCAGCATGCTGAGTAGTCATTCACTAAGACATATGCATGATGTTACACATGGCTACAGTACTTTGAAATAGCTTTTATAAAATGTATGCACTCATGCAATCTTAACATGTAAAATGTCAGCTAAAACTTGTCTTACACTAAACCTGCTAAGCCAAGAAAAAAAGATAAATATGAGAAGCCCAAAACAAGTTATTGAAAATATAAACACAGGTAACGTTACAACAAAACTGAGTCAAAACACTCAAAACTAAGTGTTTCAATGAACGCAAGATTAATGCGTGTCACAGAAGCAGCTGTCCTCTGTAAAGCAGAGTGGGCACAGCATGGTGAAAGCAGGAAGTGGTGCACAAAACTGAATTAAGAAGAGTGCCCGACTAATTGTATCTACATCCCTTTACATGTAGGTACTTACAAAATTTGAGCACAATCAGCCAAAACTTAACTGTGAAGGAGGCCATGCCCACTCGCACATGAGAGGTGTGCAAAAACATGCCTGTAATACCTTATGCCTAGATACATAAAGATGAAAATGTGTTGTGTCTGTGTGCCTGGTTAGTGGCATGACGTGACATGACTATTATCAATACCTGACAGTACAATTATCATGATATTATCATTATTGCAATTGTAATAAAAAATGATCAATTGAACTTTTCTGCTCACTTTACATAGCCAAAATACCTGAGATTTTTTAATATCAAGTTTGCGTACTCCAAAATCGTAACTTCTGCTTCCTCCAGTACTTTATAAGTTTGCGCAAGACTATTATCCATTAGATGTAGGGACAATCATGACCACTTGACTAAAAAATGGTTCACTTGGTTCTTACAAGCCTGTTAACTCACTACACAAGGGGAGGGGGCACTGCAAAATGGTGTGGAAATCGCCACATTTGTCTCATGATGTTTGATGCATAATAATCGGTATCAAAATATCGTCGTATTAGTATGCAAGGTCACCAAAGAATGAGCCAACGTTATTTATCAAATGTCAAAGCAAATTGGCAATATCTAGCACAACAAAACACATAATTCAACACCTAACGATGCCGGCCGAGTCCCCGATACCACCATGGCGACCGCTCAAGTCCAACTGGCCGGCAACTGGCCAATCAGGGAGCTTGTTTGTCATTTCTGGGTGGGATTAAAAAACATGCGTCCCGATATTACTTATATCGCTACTTAGTGTTACACAGTCACATAACGAATATTACTTGAGAAGTGCACATGTTTTATCATTCAACCTCTCATGAGACCCTCTTTTTATAGAAACTGACCAAGCGTGTGTGCTGTTTTATTTTCCAAGCTAAGACGCTTCATCCCCTTGCCAAAACGAAATGGGATTTCTTAATCTTTTAGCTGTCGCCATTACTTTCCATGAACGCTACTTTGGAAAGCCCCGCGCCTTGTCGGGCGTATATTAGCGGCGCTTGGAATTAGCTGATGTCAGCGGGTCTTTAAAGGTCACAATCAATGGCGCCATAGACATTTCGTCGGAGAAACTCTCTGTCTTACCCTTATGTAACCGTTACCAGACATGAGATTCCTGTTTCACTCTGAAACGCTTCTCCCTATTCACACATGCAGTATTGAGTTTAATGGGCCTGCTGATGCATGACATCACGGTTGTGTAAGGAAGTCGACATCTCTGTAACACCAAGCCAGTCTGACTCGCTGAATCCTTGCGATCTAGAGGCGGCACCAATGAGTTCGATGCCAGACGAAACCCTTGGGAGGCGACGCTCCTCTTTTTCCGGGGGAAACAATCAGCCTCGGCGAGGTCTGAGACTCGGCCAGCTTCAATCGGCCGACGTGACAGATTCTCGATTGAGCGGCCGCAGTGCGGCGGGCCTCTGTGGGACCAGTTTGTGTTGGTGGACTCAGTCCGAGACGCATCGGGCTCTTGGGGAAACGTGACGAGCTATTCCGACGGCGATTTCAATCTACGCTGCTCTCAGACGTCTTTGTTCTGTTTGGTTTCTCATTTGATAATTATTTTATCCCCATACGTCGACCACTGATCAGTCTAACACTGCTATTTTCCCTAGCTTAGCCTTACTATAGAGACAATAATCTGATCTCATTAGCTCCCCTTTCTCACTCTGACTTAATGGTTCTCATTGGATCCCCCCTACCGTTCTCAGTCGGGCGACCTGCCCGGCGGCGAGAAGGTGGCCGCCGGAGAGCGTTACACGGTCTCGGACATCACTCGACAGATGGCCGGCGTGTACGAGTGCGTGGCCGACAACGGACTGGGCCAGGTGGCAGTCGGCGCAATACGGCTGCAGGTTCACTGTGAGTCGCTCTAGATTTTATCGTACCGTTTATAGTTTTCAGGCATGTATGTAGAGTGTGCAATGCATGCATCTGCTCCATGTCTCTTTGCATTCTACCATTCGGCTAGGAAAGAAAACTTATTTTGTGTGGCATTATCGAAATGAATAGTACTGGTATTGAGTCACTGATGGTCACGCTACTTCGTACTGAAAACGCCACCGCACGGCTGTGGGTAGACATGTGGGAGGCAGTGACGTAAGTGTCAAGGATAGGATGTTTAATTGCTCTCCAGAAATAAACCGAGTGAGTTGTTGAGTCGTGGCAGCCGTATGTAGGTGAGGTCTTTTACAGCTGATGTGCGCTGAGAGACGAGCAGACATGGGATTTACCGCTTTGGTATGTTGCAATTGAGATATATCAGATACCGGACCTCATCATAAGCATACATGATAGCTATTATTAAATTATTGAATTGCTGGTAAACTAATTATCACTGTCCCTGCTGAGCCGTAAGGGATGTAGCTCTACTGTTCGCCGGCTCATTAGTCGTGTGCCGTAAGAAACCAACTGCGCCGACTGCGACATCCACAGCCCTGAGCCGGACCGAAATTGGCGTGCCGTGTTTACGTCTGAAGGAGGGCGCCCTTGAGTTTTCCCTTGCAAACACGTTACGGCGAGCGACAGACGTTGGTCGGCAGTGGTATCGATTTCCTGTTACCATTGACTTGTGGGTATTTGCCTCTGCCGTTCTTACCTGAAAGGAAAAACATCAACTTCACGTCCAAATGCAGACGAATGCATGCTATATTACGAGTATGGCTTAACCGCTTAACCGCTCCGAATCGTACTAGTGATTAATTGTCGCAACTTCTTATCATGTGTGACATATAAATAGCCTACTTTATAGCCTTCCCTAGGACCATTAGTAAAGGATGGTGTTTTCGAAGCAGTACGTCAAAGCACACCAAAGCGCTCTCTCATTTGAACCTAACCCACGGATACGGGAGAGACACGAGCATCCGAGATAGCAGCTTCGAGCCAAAACACGTCACTCAGGTGTGTTTAATCCTCTTTGTTTTCGAATTGTGCCGAGGAGTTCACTTCTTAATGTCAGTTCCAGACTGTGAAAAACATTCTGTAGATCAAATAAGCAGCACCTCACTGCGGCGTTAAGTCCAAGCCATCAGATGTGCTTTTTAAAAATAGAAACGAGGTATACTCGGCAATGTTGGGCTTTGGCAGCGAAAAGATATAATATACATAGATAAGTGAACAATCCTCAATCCCTACAAGTAGATCAAGTTTAGGACTAATAGCTGAAGCTTTTTGTTCAGATTGCAAAAATAACTCAGTTTGTCCAATTAAAATGAATACACAGTCCAATTAAGATAAATACACACCCATAGTGCAGGGGTGAACAAATGTGCCGAGTTGGGGTAGCACGGGCGCAGCAAATCCGCCGCTGCCCTAGCGGTGACCTTAACCTCCGCCGTCTGTTGCGGCTCCAAAGCCAAGCCGGCGTGGAATTGGGAAAGCTCGTGCTACCCCAACTCGGCACAAATATTCACCCCTGCCATAGTGATACCATCAACATGAGCCATCGTCGTTTGAAATAGAAATAACCATGTGCACATTCATGAACGTCGGTGGCAATTTTACTACAATACCATTCAGCGCAATAGTGAGCATGTCACCTGATTAGTGACTGTCTGTTTGGGAGCGGCAGTGAGACAGTTAGTAATGGCGCATTACCTCCCAGCACAGCGGTTGTGTGACCAGTGACTTGGCGTTTTTTTAAGACTTGGTGTTCGTGTACAGCAGTGGATCGTTTCTTGACTTGCTTCCCCTCCTGCTGGCCATTTCCCATGGCCTGTTCTCCTCCCTCGCTGGTCTGTTACTGACTCTATGCCTGCTCTCGCTGACCGGCAGACCCGCCAGAAGTGGAGGTGGAAAAGAGCACAGTTTACACCGGCGAGGGCTACAGCGTGGTCCTGGTCTGCTTCGTGTACGCCGATCCACCAGCCAAGGTGAGACACGGGTTGGACAGGTCTAAGGGCTGAATATTATACAAATGTTCGCTGTTTACTTTTTGCTACACTGGAAAAGTAGTTATGTCAATGATGGGCTTGATCTTAGGTGTTAAGTATCGCCCGTGGCTTTGTATTGCGATTTCAGAGTAAATGTTAATGTCTTGTCGAAATGAGAGTGCCGATTTTAGTAACCAAAGTAACAAAGTAAGCCTTCTCGACATCACTTTACATATGAAAACCTCACTCTATCCAAATTATCAATCTGAAATGAAGTTAGATGACATTACAGCAGTAGGAGAGGCTCCAAACTTTTATCTG